CAAGGACCCCGAGTTTCCCTCCCCTTAGAGCAGGGGTATAATACCTGTCTGAATAAAGTCAGGTGGGTGGGAATCACACTCTCTGACTTCCCTTTTACAGGTTAGTAAGTTTGTAAACCTTTTCTCTTATTATGGTTGCTAGGTTTTTTTCAGTGAACCTTGACAGAGTGGAGAGGAAATTTCCCTTCCTTCTTACAAAAGCAAAACTTTCAGATTATGCATTGAAAAAAAGAAAGAAAAAATATTGAAGGCTTTTGTTTTTCAATTTTCCAACTGTTTGGTTTTGGTATTTTGGTTTTGATGTAGACAATCTAGCCTTTAAAATGTCTCTGGTGAACAAATACTGTCTAATTTTGCTGGAAGAAATGTAAATAGAATGTTAACCAAACAGTTCTTGAATGTATCAGAATATAAAACAAGCAGTTAGTTGAATGTATTAAAGTTACTGGACATGCCCTATGGCCCAACAAGACTATTTCTCCATCTCTAGAGATGGAGATAGGACAGACAAGCAAGCTTGTGCAATTTCACACATATAGCATTATTCTTAGTATGGAAGGATTGGGAACAGTTAACATCTCCACACACAGGGAGAGCTGAATACAGCATAGTGAATCCATTCAATGGGTTACTATACAGTAGTCAAGACAGTAAGGGTGTAAAGGTAAGCTGATTCTAAGCCACAGAGCCTGAGTTAAAGTGTAAAAGACCAGGCATCCTAAAGTTTCCAAAGTGCAGGGATTGGGTTAAAAAGTAAAAAGACAATTGTTACAATCATACAAGTCTATTGTTACAATTCCTCTGCTATCCCCGGAACTTGTAATCCCTGTAAAGTTGTTAGAACAATGAGGGAACTGCCTAGTAAATGTCTCCATTGATTCTCTGGTTGTTTAATAGCTAAGGGCTCTAGGTAGCATGGCACGTACGCATCTAGGCCCCAGAACCAATCAGTTTAAATGTGTACCCCACTTAGAAATGACCAATCATCTCTGCCTAAATTGTTCCCGCCAATGTATGTACTAATCATGTTTCAGAATTGTTGTTCAATTTTCCCGCGCCTTATGATGATTTGTTCTGATGTATGCAAAGCCCCCCACCCTCTCCAAAAAGTGTACTTAAGCTCCACCTGACCTCCGCTCTGGGCTCTGAGCCGCTCTCCCTTCTTGAGTGGGCACAGAGTCCCAGCATGCTGGAACAGGATCCTCAATAAATTTCCCCCCTGCGATTGCATGAAGTGAGTCTCTTGTGTGGTTTCTCCCCTCCGACGCTCCGCTGCACCCCAACAAGGGGTCCTTTATGTGTGCTGTTAAACATCTTTAAGATTTATTTGCAAAGTTCAGAATATTGTGTGAAGTATGCTACTCATTGTGCATTGGAAAAAAGAAAATATATACAGGTGTATTTGCAAAGATGCCAAAAAAATGTCAGCAGTGTCCCTCTAAGGTAGCTGAGGGGACAAGGGATGGAGGGAGACTGACTTTCACTCTGTCCATTCTTTTGTTCCTTTTAGAGTTTGTATGATGAGCAGACACTATCTGTGTTAGCTTTTCATTACTATAATAGATATCTAAAGTAATTCAACTTATAAACAAAACAGGTTTATTTTGTAAGTTCTCTGTCGAAGGAACCGCTGAGCTAGAGCCAGTCCAGAACAGGCTTATTTTGGTTTGGGCTTTTGGAGACTCTAGTCCATGAATCATTGGCCCCATTGCTTGTGAGGCATTATGTCATGGCAGGAGCATGTGGCAGAGCAAAACCACTCATCTCATGGGAAAGAAACCAAAGACAAGGAAGGAGCTAGGGGCTGCGGTCTCAATAGCCTCCCCCTTTTTTTGTACTAGTGAATGAACCCAGGGCCACTGAACCACTGAGCTACATCCCCAGTCCTACTCTCAGTGAGACAGGGTCTTATCTCACTGAGTTGCTGAGGCTTGATCCTCCTGCTTCAGCCTCCTGAGCGCTGGGATTACAGGCAGGAGTCACTGCACCTGGTTTTCAATAGCCCTTTCAAGGGTACAGTCCCAAAGACCTAAAGCCCAACTAGGCCCCACCCCTTAAGGTGCCACCACCTCCCAACAGTGTCAGACAAGGGACCATGCCTTTGTCATATGGGATTTGAGGGACTTTTAACTTAGCAGTATCTATTTAAAATATCATTAAAGAAACAGAATAAATGCCTTTGAGAATTAAAATAGCTAGACTTTGATTGGATTGGGTTCATTTTCTGTTAGAATCAGTGAGGTCTGTGGGTCATAGCTGCCTTAATCATCTATGAAAGTGTGTCTTTTAAAAAAATTTATTGTAGTTGGACACAATACCTTTATTTTATTTATTTATTTTTATGTGGTGCTGAGGATCGAACCTAGCGCCTCCCACATGCTAGGCGAGTGCTCTACCACTGAGCCACAACCCCAGCCCCATGAAAGTGTATCTTGATACACAATATTGCAATTCCATAAGCACCAAGCTCTTCCCATCCCACAGCCCCATGATGGGGTTAGGAATATCCCATGGTGGAGAAGCAAAGACAGAGTGATTGCTGATGTTACCATGCTGCCTTTCCTTGACCGGGAGGCGCTCTGCTACTTCTCACGTGGACCCAGAAGATGGCAGGAAACTGAGGGCCACAGATCAGCCCCAGGAGAAGACCTGTGCGAGAGGGGTCCTGGATCTCCTTCCTAGCTGCTCAGTCTTATCCCCTAGTGTTTTTCTCTCCCTCGTGAGCAGGGGTTCTGAAACCTGAGCTGTGGGAAGAATCCTCTGCAGAGTGCTAGAGGCCCGCCTCAGCCTCAGGAGGTTGGGCAGCACCGCAGGGGATGCCATGGCTGCTGCCTGGTGGGGCACGTGGAGAAACGCCACTGAGGCCGCTTGCCCCTAGTTTACCATTGCCACCAATAGGTTAGCTAGCACCAGGAGACTTTGCTTCCTCCCTCTGGGCCTACGCTAGACTGTGGAGCATTCTGATAGTCTCCATCCTTGGAGAGCATGGGCTGGAGTGTTCAAGTAAGGAAACAGAACACCGTGCTACTGAAGGAGCTGACCTGGGATTTGAACCCAGCCATCTTCCACTCTGAAAGCCAGGCTGCCCCTGTATTGCATGCTGCCACAAGAGTTCTTTCATGCTAACATGTATTTGCCTCTCCAAGTTGGAAGCAGGCAGTGTAGTCTAATGTCTAAGACAGCCCAGCCACAGACAGACAAGGCCAATGATTTTGCAAAGGTTCAGAATCATCAACCCCCTGTGTTTGCACAGTGTGTGGAAGGCACAAGGCAAACATCACCGGCCCCTCTGAATCCCAGTGTGATGAGGGCAAAGGCCCAGATGTGAGCCAGTCTTGCTGGTTCATTGCTGTTCAGAAAGCAATCATAGAATTGGGTGCACCCCAGCTTCCCTGCTGACTGGGTCAAGGACAGGATCTGAGGGCCTTGATTTCTATAGTCAGAGGCTGGGAGGTTACTGGCCTTTCCTTGACAGAGCACCAATCAGGGCTCAGCGTCACACAGGCACTTTGCATGCCCTCTGGGACAAGGTGACAGGCTTGTGCTGTGGGAAGGGCATTTCTCTGGACCCGCTGGAAGTCACTTCTGTCACAGGGGATTCTCCATTCTCCCAGAGCCACAGAGCCTTTGTAATACCTGAAGGTCCGCCTGATGCCAGCTTTCATCTTTGTGCTGGAGGAGTAGCTTCCTACTACCTGAAGGGCTTTCATTCCTTTCAGAAATGAAGGAAATGCTTTACTTCAAAGTCTTTCTATTCCTTTCATAGCTATCTCAGGGAAAAACACCTATTTTATGTGTTCAATCACTGATTAAGATGATTTTTTTCAGAACAGTGTATGTTTAACTAATTTGACAATGAAAACTGGCTTTAAATGTATATTTTATGGGATGTTTAGTGGTCATATCAGGGCAATTGACATATCTGTCGTCTCAGATATTTATAGTTCTTTTGTGTTGGGAACTGAAACAGTTTTGTCATTAAAAACTATCTTAGTCATGTGCATATGGTAGATTTTTTATGTCCACTAGATGACCTATCTATTTTTATAATGGTCCAACTAGCTTTGATTAACTTACTTCCATTTTAACATGTTAGGTTTTGTTTTGGGTACCAGGGATTGAACCCAGGGGCATTTACCCACTAAGCCACATCCCCAGCCCTTTTTACATTGTATTTGAGACAGGGCCTTGCTAAGTTGCTGAGGCTGGTTTTGAATTCCCAATGCTCCTGCCTCAGCCTTCCGAGCTGCTGGGATTGCAGGTGTGTGCCACGGAGCCTACTCAATGTGTGTCTTGGTTGGCTTTCCAGGTAGGCCTGTACCTTCGGTCAGGGTGATTACCTTTAAGCACATGTACTTCCCTTCTTTCTCCCCTTGATCTGAAGGTTCCTGGCAGCATCACATCAGAAGAAAAGCTCCCACCTACAGCAAACTGACTTCATTTTCTTTCAGAATAGGGAAGGGGGAGCGCAGTGGTTCTGATTGTGAGGTCAGGCACGCACTCCACAGGCCGGTCCCTGTTGCCTTGTTTCTGCTCATGCAGTCGAGGACAGTGATGGCCTGCCGTCCCCCTGCAGGGTGGGGTGATGACAGGTTGTTTCCTGGGCAGTGTGCAGTGGGCAAGGACACTAACAAACCATGCTGCCTTGTCTGCGTCTTGCCCAAGACGTGCCCCTGTTGGCAGCAATGCTGGCACACATTAATGTGATCAGTTTATGATTGAAAGACTATAGTAGATGAATAATCTAAGAAGCCAGTGACACCTAAATTCAAAGCCAAGGCACATTTTAAATACGAATATGGGCTGGGTGCAGCTCAGGCAGAGCACTTGCCTGGCACTCATTGGCCCTGGGAGCCATCCTCAGCACCGCGAACAGGATGGGAACAGATGTGTGCAGGTGTCGTTTAGCCACTTACTTCTCCTGTTCTGCTTCTGGCAGATCCTTTGTGCTGTACCTTGCTGGATGAGCAGCGTTCCCCTTCTCCACTCTCCTTTTCCATAAAAATCATAAAATGCTCTGTGAATTTGCATGCCATCCTTGCACAGGGGCTGTGCTAATCTTCTCTAGATAGTTCCAGTTTTAGTACATGTTGTTAAATTTTTAAAAAAATGACAGGAGGCTAATGTTCCAGAATAAGCACCTGCCCTGGACCCCAACAGACCAGTCTAAAAGTCCAAATGGAGTCACTTACCCTGATTCCAAGTCACCAAGCTGAAACTAGCCTGCTTATGGGGCTTTCTGAGAAATCCCACTAGGACAGTAACAGCCGAACAGACTACGCCAGCTAGCACGGTGATGAAGTCAATCCTTTCGTCAGGCTCTTCCTGTTGCTTTGTCCCCCTTTCCTTCAAGGAAATGACAAGGAAAGCTATTTTGAAATGACCCATGTGCCTTCCTTTGTTTCTGCTTTCTTTAGCTCTTTTCTGTCTGTGAAGTCACCCTCTTCTGCTGGGCCAATCAGAACATTCAATTCTAGTTTATGGGATGAAGTGTTGCCTGGTTCTGAAATGGAAAAGGAAGCCAATTAAGATTATCAAGCTGAATTACGGGATTGTGTCCTTAGCAGTGTGCTGCAGATACCAGCCCTTGCCTTCATCTTCACTCTTGATGCTGGTTCGCACAGTGTGGACCAAGAAGCTACTAAGAAATGGTTTCACTGTAGGGAAGCAGCACTCTTGGCACTCAGTAGCTTCCTCGTGAAAAAATGGCGGAGGGATAACAGAAATAGAAACCCCAGTAGTTTGCAGTTCCTGTGGAACTGAGAGACTCAGACAACAGTTAACAGTTCCCCATGGAAAGGCAGGAGGAGCTAAATCACACGGGGCGTGAAATAGTCACCCACAGTCACAGGGGACCCGCTTAACCCCCTCGGCAAACACTGGTAGCTTCCCCAGCCCTGTGTCCTCAAGAGTTTATGGGGGACAGTGTCCTTGATCAAATGTGCTCAGGACACTTATTTGAACTGGACATGTGGTTATTAATTCCTGCAGTTCCTCTGGAGTCTTCGAGCCTAGGTGAGCTGTGATTCTGCAAGACAGGATCATACCCTGTGGACTTCCCAGCTCCCTTAGCCTTGGAACCGCCTGCAGGGGGCATCTTGAGGTTGTGGTCAGTGGCCTGGCAACTTGAACCTTCTGACTGGGGGTGTTCTGGGGATGCTCAGAGCTGCACAGGCTGAAGGAATGCTGCATTTTGTACTCCCCACATCTGGCAGGTTACTAAGACCCCCTGACCTCACGTTCCTAATCTACAAAATGGAAACAATAAATATCACGTCCTATGTTTTTCAGTTTTTATGAGAATTAAAAGGAATAATATCTGTCGCTTAGTGGTGGAGCATGTGCTTCACCTGCATAAGGTTCTGGGAGAAAAAGAAAAAAGAAAAAAAAAAGGGGGGTGGATTTCTACATCCACGAAAGACCTGGTGCCATAATGTACTCCATAATGTCTCTTTTCACTTTGTTCTTCCTCATGGAGCCTCAGTGGCCACCTGTCCTGCTGTCCTTTCTCTTGGACTCCTAGCAGAAGGTTGTAGTATAATCAGGGAGAGGCCTAAAGGTGTACTCCCTTTGATCCCCAGAGCACTTTTTTCTAGAGGGCAAAGGCTGAGCAATGTTACCCTCCTGATGTCTGACCCTGGAGGAGGTCGAGGGTGTCACCCCTACCTCTGGGTCCTCATTTGGACTCCGAGCACAAGCGTGTGAGTCTGTGCAGGATGAACACCAGGACGGGAAGTGAGAGCAGGTGCCTCAGGTCTCCACTCAGCCCTTTGTCCTGGAAGCTGCCCCTGCAGCCCAGCTTCCTGCAGGGCAGTCAGAGCGCAGGGCCTGTGGTGGTGGGGAGCAGGGAATCCCCCCTCATCTGCTCCTCACACTGACAGGCAACCATCAAGACTGTGGGGCTGTGTCAGCAGAGTGGGAAGCCATCCCTGAGAGACCAAACCCAGGAGAATTCCACTATCAAGAGGAATAACTTAACTACTAATGACTGAAACACCGACTTAGATAATTCTATGAATTCGTGTTCCTCAAGGAAAAACAAAAAATTAGAATGGAGGAGCTCAGAATGGGAGAAAAGTTTTGAAATCATCTATCTGATAAGGGACTTGTATCGTATCGAGATACGCAAGAAACCCTTACAATTAAAAACATCAGTTCGAATCATGAGCAAAGGATCTGAATAGATATTTATCCAAAGGAGATAAAAGGCCAACAGACACAGGGAAAAATGCTCAATGCCTTCAGCCACCAGGGAAATGATAACCCAGAACACAAGATGCCCCTTCACGCCATCCGGAATGGTGGCCATCCACATGATGGAGCCAGCAGGTGCTGGTGAGGACGTGGACAGCGGGAACTGCTGGTGGCAGAGTGGAACTTCAGCAGTGCAAAGGAGTGCAGCTAATCTGCCAAGGAGCCAACACCGTGTTGGCACGTGACTCACCCGTTCTACTCTTGGTCTGTTCTCCAGAGAGAGGAAGATGTATGTCCACACAAAGACTTGTGCACAAGTGCTCAGAGCAGTATCATAAACAAGACCCCCAAAGTGAAAAGGATACACATACTGAATTACTGATGAATCAATAAACTATAGAAACCCATCAAGGGAGTGTTATTTAGCCATAAAAAGAAATGAAGTATGCATCTGAGCTACAAAGTAACTGTTTGGTGAAAGAAGCCAGACACAAAGAACTGCAGATGGCATACGCTATTCAAGTGAGATGCCCAGGGCAGGCAAATGCAGAAACAGGAAATAGGCTGGTGGTTGCTAGGGGCCGGGATAGTTGGGGGAAATAGGCAGAACTGCTAGTGGGGTCTGCTTGCTTTTTGGTATAGAGAAAATTGTCTACCTCTGATAATAGTGATGGCTACACCACTCTGAATATGCTAGAAACCACTGAATTTTACATTTAGGTTGAATTATATGGTATTCAAATTATATCTCAGTAAGGTTATCTTTTAAAACTCAACAGTAAAAAAAAAAAAAAGTAATGATCCAACAACTTAAAACAGCAGAACCAGAAGACCCCAGCAGAACCTGAACCGAGGGCTCATTTGTTTGTTATAGGAGCAGCAGGGTGAAGTGCTCAACCCACGTGCTGTGCTGGAGTACGGCTGAGTCCCAACATGGCCATCAGAAACGGAACAGAGTGCTGTCGTCAGCTTTTTTTTGCTGCTGTGTCTAAAAGATCCGACCAGAACAATTTTAAAGGAGGAAAACCTTATTTGAGGGCTCCCAGTTTCAGAAGTCTCAGCCCCCGAACAGCAGTCTCCACTCCTCTGGGCTCAAGGTGAGGCGGGACATCATGGCGGGAGAGCATGGCAGAGGGAAGCGGCTCACATGGTGATCAGCAAGCAGAGAGAAAGAGACTCCAGACACAAATATGTGCCACACCCCAGTTCCCACCTCCTCCAGCCAACCCACCACTTCAGTTTCCACCCAGTTAATCCCTATTGTTGGGAAAAGGTATAACGGCAGCCACACCCCAACATGGCTCCAGAGGAGCTTCTCTTCCTGCCTCTCCCTTTCCCGCTAAGGTTTCCCGCTGGCGCCAATGCACACTCCTGCCGGCGGGAAACCTTAGCCCCAATAAGAACTGATCTCGTGGGCTCCAGAACTGACATCTGGAAGAACTTACCAATAAACGGGTGACCCGTCATTTACCTAAGCCCTGCCACCTCTCCTTAGATCCATATAAGCCCACAGCCTTTTGTAATAAAGTGGAACTTCTCCGGTGATTTGTCTCGGTCGCATCTTCTTTCACCTATCAGGGGTTTAATTCACTGATTGGGTTAAGACATTCACAACCCAGTAATTTGTCCTCTGAACCTTCTTGCATTGTCTCAGATATGAGCTTTTGGGGGACATATCACATCCAAACCATCATACAGAATCATATTAAAGCTGTAAGTGTTTAGTAGTCATATATAAAAGGTAAAAAGGGGGCCTGGGAGTGTAGCCCAGTTGTTGAACATGTGTTAGGCCTGCAGGAAGCCCTGGGTTCCATCACACCACCCAGTGGCTGCACTAAAATTAAAAACAACAACAAAAACCCAGTGGCAGTGGAATTAATTTTACTAACACATTTTATTTAAACTGATATTGAAGCAGATTTAAAGACATGTAGTTAGGTAAATCAGGTCTAATGTCAAGTAAGATAAACAAAATGGTGGCCATTATTGAGAATGGAGTCCAGAAAAGCAGAGCAGCACTTGGGGAAATTGAAATGTTAATGTCCCCAGGGCTTGGGATCCACCCTAAGGAACTGTTAAAGCAGCAGCTCTCAGCAAACAGGGAGGTGCTAATCCAAAACGGCCCAGGTCCTTCCTGCCCAGATCACTCCTTCAGCCCACCTATCTCCCACCTTTGGGCCTCCCACCTGCATCCTATCACTGCAGGATAAAGGGAAACAAAGGATAAGAATGTAGGAAAACGTAAGGGTCTGGCGAAACCTTGGAGGGAGAGACCACCCAAGAGACTGACTCAATGCAATTGGCAAAAGGGGATATTTATTGGGGATCCATTCCAGCGCGCTGGGACTCTGTGCTCACTCAAGGAGGGAGAGCAGCCCAGAGCCGCGAGCAAAGGTCAAGCAGAGCTTAAGTACACTTTTTGGAGAGGGTGGGAGGCTTTGCATACATCAGAACAAATCATCTTGAGGCTCGGGGAAATTGAACAACTCTGAGACGTGATTGGCAAATTCATTGGCGGGAACAGGTCGGGCGGGGGTGATTGGTCATTCCTAAGCGGGGTACACATTCAAACTGATTGTTTCGGGCCCTGTGACAAACTGCACAGGGCCCTAGGCTAAATGGCTAGTAGGGTGTTGTCTTAACTATCTCAGGAATCTGGGTGTAACAGAGGAACTCAATAATACCTAATCTTTTACATTTTAATTCAAGCCTTCCAGCTTAGAAACTTTACCCTTTCAAAACTAAAAGAAGACCTTAGCTATAAAAAAGGGAAGATCTTGCCTTCCACGGATTCAGCCTTTCAGCCTTCGGTCCCCTTCTTCCTCGGGGAGAAGTCTTTTCTGCTGTCCTTTAATAAAGCTCCCACTGTCCCCTCTACTCTTGCCTCCTCGTGCTTCTCTGGTGTTGTGCTTCAG